TGTGGTTTCTGTCTCAAGGATATCTATATCTGTCTCTCATATATCTCACTGTGGTGTCTGTCTCAAGGATATCTATATCTGTCTCTCATATGTCTCCCTGTGGTTTCTGTCTCAAGGATATCTATGTCTGTCTTTCATATATCTCACTGTGGTCTCTGTCTCAAGGATAACTATGTCTGTCTCTCATATATCTCACTGTGGTGTCTGTCTCAAGGATATCTATATCTGTCTCTCATATGTCTCCCTGTGGTTTCTGTCTCAAGGAAATCTATGTCTGTCTCTCATATATCTCACTGTGGTTTCTGTCTCAAGGAAATCTATGTCTGTCTCTCATATATCTCACTGTGGTGTCTGTCTCAAGGATATCTATGTCTCTCATATTTATTTATTTATTTATTTAGGCATTTTTATATAGCGCTTATCATAAAGCTCTAAGCGCTTTACAATTATTAAAACATGTAAACTAAGTAAATACAAATGAGACACTAGGATAGTAACTACTATTCTATAGAAACAATGAAAATGGCTATAAAAAGAGGACACTTTGACACTTCAGGATTAAACCGAAACAGAAAATTAGGTAGGGCAAGGAGGGTGCATCACAGGTCATAGGCGGACCTAAACAGATGAGTTTTAAGGGACTTTTTGAAAATGGACGAGGTTTCACTATGACGTATATGGAAGGGGAGCTGGTTCCAGAACGTGGGCCCATGGAAGCAGAAGGAGCGTTCACCGATGGTCTTAGTTTTAGTTCTTGGGATTGAGAGGGTTCTACTGTCAATGGAAGAACGTAGTTGTCTTGTGGGGATGTAAGGAAGCAACAGTTCAGAGAGATAGACAGGAAAGTGAGGGTCAGTGAACGAGTTGAAGCAAAGATTGGAAGACTTGTATTTGATGCGAGAGGATATTGGAAGCCAGTGGAGTTGCCGCATGTGTGGTTGAATGTGGTCATGTTTCTTTAATTTAAAAATGAGTCTGCATGCTGAGTTCTGTGCCTTCTGAAGTTTTTCTATGTGGTGTTGAGGAATGCCTGAGAGAAGAATGTTACAGTAGTCAAATTTTGAAAGAATGAGTGAAGAGACGAGAGTTTTTGTGGCATCAAAGGAGAGGAGGTGTCTAATGGTGCTGATTTTTCTAATTTCGTTATATGCTGATCTGCATATATTCGTGACATGTTTGTCCATGGAGAGGGTGTCCGTAAGCGTGACTCCAAGGTTTCTGGCAGAGGGAGAGAGTGTGATGTCAGAGTTGCCAATAGATATAGAAGAAGGAGCGAATGGAGGGAGAGGTTTGTTTTGAGAGTGGATATCTCACTGTGGTGTCTGTCTCAAGGATATTTATGTCTGTCTCTCATATATCTCACTGTGGTGTCTGTCTCAAGAATATCTGTCATGAGGTTGAATGTCATTAGAATGTATGTCTCAGGGGTGACTTTCACTGGGGTGACTGTCATTGTAGCTAGTATGTTGTACCTATGGCTACATTGACTTTGTCTCCGTGCACACAACAGTTGCCACACAGGACTGCTGGTTGCCCCCCAGCTATTTATAAATTTATTGCCTTCAAAATTTATAAAATACCTTTATCCACCCATGGATACATCATCATCCACACATTGTCCACTGACTAACTCACTAATTGAGAACTTCTCTTTGATTTTTTTAGCTTCCAATAATCAACAATAAAACCGGTAGCATTAGTTTAAACCCTCAGAGATGGTAATTCTAATTTTGGTAATGTCAAGGTCACCACTCCACTTTTCCTCAGATCACCCGCAGGTTCGCGGAATTTTCCGCTGCCATCGTCGGGATCAACGCATCATTCCCCAACGATCGTGTCCACAGAGTCCTGGGGCAACTCCAGGGAGAGGTAGAAAACTTCATCCTCAAGATGGCAGCAGAGTTTCCGCAACGCAAGGAACAACTGATTTTCCTGATCAATAACTATGACATGATGCTGAGTGTTCTTGTTGTAAGAAATTCTCTTGCATCAATCATACCACTTTTTGATTTATGTTATGGGCATGGACTGGCTAGAAACTTACTAGAAAATATACATACAACTATAAACAGCTTCGCCAGCTCCTTCATATTAATTCTGCAGTGAATGTGAGGGTGGTTGGGGGGGGGGGTGCAAAAACTGAAACCACTGTTTTTGCCGTCTTCATATTCTCTCACATGGTGAGTAGAGTTGTTGTTTTATTTTTCTGTTTGCTTGACACGGGACATTTTTCTTTATCCCTACTTTTTTTTTTTTAAATTTCTACCATAGAGAAGGCATTTAAAAGCATAAATTGGTGCACACATCTAAATGTAATTTTATGCTCTTATTTTGCAACTATATTGAACACTTTTATCGAAAAAAATTTTTATACGTCTGTAGGGTAGAGATGTACACGCTGATGTTCTCCTGTATATAGTAAATGTACCACAACTATAACTGTAAATAAATAGCCAATTTACCGATAATCTCTGACTTAGGAGCGGACAACTGATGACTCCAAAGAAGCAGAAATGTATAGAGACCTGTTAGCAGCTAGGACCCAGGAGTTTGTGGAGGAAATCCTGGCACCTCACTTTGGGGGTCTGATCACGTTTGTCAAGGACTGTGAAGTTTTTCTTGATAGGGGTCAAGGTGATAAACTTCAGACAGAAGAAAGTAAGCTGTGTGAAAAAAGGTTTTTGTTCTGTAGTCACTCTATAGCAGTGGTCTGCAAACTCATAAGCCAAAAGAGCCAAAAATCAGCAGGACGATTAACATTTTTTTTTATAGCCACATTTCTTTTCAAGAACCCATCACGAACCATGTTTTTGGAGTCAAAACTGCTAAAGATCTGCATGCGAGCTGCGATGAGCCGACCACTGCTCTATAGTGTATTTTATTTAGGGGGAAAATGGCTCAAACATCTTTTAACAATTTTAAAAAAATCTTCAGCACCTTATGTATTTTGACTTTTATTGATAGTGAGATTCACATATTGAAAAGTTAATAATTTTAAAAAACTGTTTTATTTGTACTTTAAGAGAGAGTTCAGCAAATAGTGCGAGGATTCAACAATGACTGGAAGAAGGCCCTAGAGAGCATCAACCAGGAAGTAATGAGAGCCTTCACCAACTTTAAAAATGGGACCCAGATCTTGCAGGTGGGTCTTTGAAACATCCAGCCTTATTTTGTATTAATTTTTTTTTTAATTTATTTTTATGACACATGAACTATTGTTTCTTAGTCTTAAATTAACAATAATAGTTTTTTTTTAGGAAGGGTGGTATTCATTTTTTTCCTTCTTTTTTTTTCATTAAGTCAGAGGTAAAGACCTTGCATTTTTTCCCAAAGGACTTGCAGGTCCTGCAAGTCAATGGATCAGTTTGAACATATTATATTTCTATTTTTAGCAAGTTTTTACTCTTTGAAAAGCTCTCTAAAAATTATTAATCTTTTTAATTTTAGGGGCAGCAAGCTAGGGAGTTATCTTCCTTTTCAAAAATATTTTTCATCATTTATGTTTTCACTTATGTTTTTTAATGAGATTTGATCAAGGCATATGAATTTGGGAATTTTGGAAATTTAATAGATTGGTTGGAATAAAATGCATATTTCAAAATGAATTTATACAGTAAAACTTAAAAAGCAAAATAACCAAGATCTGAATTTTGTATTTCCTCAGGGGGCTCTGACCTTGCTGATACAATATTACCATAGATTCCAGAAGATACTCTCCCAGCCGGTGTTCCGCAATCTACAGATCAAACATGAACTCATCAATATTCACCACGTCATGGTTGAAGTGAAGAAATACAAACCAACCTTTTAGCATTTCTCATGTGCAATGATTCTGTTCCAGTGATATGCAATATTTGTTCACCGACTGGGTTCTCATGATGCCACCAGTTAAGAAGATAAGTCATTATGAACAAAAGCAAAACAATAACATAATTATGATCCCCTGCACGGGCTTCTCCAATTCATGTGGCATGACAACATGCCAGTTAATTAAGGACAAAATATTAGGACAATGCATAACATATTTGTTCACTTCCATGATAAGCCAAAGGCTTTGGGGTGACACATTTTTGTGTGTGTGTGAGAATAACTGCAATTTCAAAGTGAATAAATCCACGACTAGTAACAATTAGCATGAATCAAAGATGACTTCATTGAAGATGTTGTCAACATCAACAGTTGAAGAGTGTAGTATTAAGATTACAGTTATTTATTTGCTCTTCAAGTTTGAAAAAATATTGCCATGGAAAACCCCACCCCCCCAAACCCAAATACTCTTTCATACCCACTCTAATAATTCATACTGTCAAGTAATAACCTAATTTTTGGTGTCTTTAAATATCAATAGTAATATGTCTTAAGTTTTCATGCTTTTGAATAATTTAAATTAATCATTTTCAAAACTTTAAGTACATTATTAAATGACAATCATTATTTTAAATCTGCAGACATTCCACATGTAAGGGGGTTATTCATTCCAGGATCCTTCAATTAAGATCATATCTTTCTATATTGATAATGGGCATAAATCTTTTAAATAAACTATTTCCTCTCTAATTTTGTTGAAAGATGCAAATACAATGTGCGTTTTAGACATAAAATTTAAATTAATGTCAACATTTAAATATCATGATGAAGCATGACTGAATATATTTGTTAGTGAGAGTAAGCCATGTGATAAAAATGCTAATACTAAATCTAAATCAAAGTTAAGTCATCAGTGTTGGGAATTACTGAACATGCTGTGCATTACTCAGAACTTATATTTTTGACATGTAATTTATGTTGTGACATGTCAGTTCTTAATAGCCTTTGCTATTGTTCTCATTGTGAAGTTTGACTGTTACTGTTAGCCGGCGATCTCCACCTTGAGTTTACTGGCTGGAGTCACTGCTACTACTTTATTTTACATTGATAGTTTATTGAAACTGTACTTCCTGTGCTAGTCGTATTTTATTGTTCTTTAAATAAAAAAATTCACGTAGTTTATTAAAATTGTCTGGAGGATAGTGTGAGAGGATGTAAATTTCATGAACAATAAATTATTCCTTTCTGTATATTAAGTGATGCCTTGACAAAAAATTTTTAAACTGTATGTCATGCTGAGCATTGTTTATAAAAAAATTTGAGAAAGTAAATATAACAAAGCTTTGTATATATTAGTATAGCACTTAAAGATTTCCACTCATTACAAACTTGATGTCCACTATTGTATGTACTTTAGAAAAGTTATTTACATGATATGTCTGTAGTTTAAATTATCATGTGTTTTATTTCCTGATGAAAGTTACTTTGTGTTTGTAAATTTGTCTTTAAACTGTGATAAAATAAAGTGTATAGAAAAAGTAAAAAAATATTCTTCTTGTAAATGTAAGATTGTGACATTTACTCTAGAGAACAAAGCCAGAGAGATGGGGAAAAAAAAAAGAAAGCAACACAGTCTTAACTTTTTACAGAAATAACAACTTTAAAACATTTACACATTTTTCTTTTTCAATCGATCCAAAGCTGATCCTTGAAGGCCTTTTCTGTTCTTGTTCCTGCTATCCATTTTGCCGTCAATCTGTTTGTTCCTCACAATGTTTCTAATTGCGGTCCTCGTTTGCTGCTCTTGGAAACCTTTCTTACGCTGGACTATCTTTGCTCCACTGCTTCCTCCTTTCATTTTATTTCTGGGTGTGAAGTCGATCTTCTTTGGCTTCAAATACTGGAGAAACAAAATTGTTTTCATTGAGGTTCATGGTAGTTTGGGAAATGGCTCATCATTGATATTGTTTAGGTAGAATGTTATATTTATACCGCATTAACACTGTATTCTTCGTTTTTTATGGATAACACAAACATAAACTAATACATTAATACCGGTATCCATTTATTTCACAGAATCTAAAAAAGATAAAGTCATATCAATATGTCTATTGGAAAAATAAATACATAGTAATTTTGATTCAATGGGTTCTTAAATTTAAACATAGTTTTTATGGGTTCATAAATGATTATAATTAATCATTAAATAATGAAGCAGCATATTCTCACAGCCATGGGCCAGATCTTACACTTACTTTCTTTTTTAATCTTTCCTCCTCTCGCGCCTTGGCAGTTTCCACATCTACATCAATTATGCTGGTTTGAAGTGTGATCATTTCAGGTTGAACCTGAAAATAGCAATAAATAAAATGATTTTCATGATGACTACACTTCTTCTTCACTTTTAATTTCTCTCATGAATTTAAAAACTAAACATTAAATAAATATTATCTTCGCCAATGCATGTATGTAAACAATAATTATCATTATGACCATTGCACATAACTAATTCGCACAGTACATTATAATATTGCTGTTGGTGACCGTGAATAGTCTGTAAAATGCTTTAGTTACCTTATCAAGCAGCATGCGAACTTCTGTCTGTTTTCTCTGTGACTTAGATTGGAAAGGATTTGCCTCATAAGCATCATAGTTGGGCTCTCCAGCACCTGAGGAAGATTTTGGTTTTAATAGCAACATTAATTTCTCTGCAATCTCAATGGCACATTTTAACTAAATTTAATTTCACTTTCCACAAATGTAGTGAAATATAAACACCCAGTTTTAACATGAAAGGTTTGAAATTTATACACCGTTGATTGAAACTTTACACCAAAATTATTATTAATTTTTTTTGCAACCAAATGATCGTAGATAATTCACAGTGTTGTAATCCCAAAAATACAAACAGGCAGACATACACATTAATGCCTCCAACATCTGTGGTAACTCATAAACCCACCTGGAATAACAATACTTGAAAAGCCCAAGCCATGACCTATCCCTAACACGTCCTCAAATGGACAAAACATGAAATCTGTAACGAGCTTATCACAAGGGTGGAACAAGTAAGGTTTCTTTGGCTTGTGACTTGTGGCTGTGATATCTTTGTATACCTGATGTTTGAAATAGCAATTTTTTTAACATAAAGAAGTTATGTTGAAAATATTAAGAGTAAAGTACATAAGGACAGTGATTATGTTACTATTTCATGGTTCCATTTAGAACTGAAATAAACATAGTTCCATTTTTAACAGATAAAATAAGATGAACCAAGTTGGTTAATTGTAGTACGTAATGAACTCTGCTCTGGTGAAGGTGTAGATTTCTACAACATAAATTTTGACGGATCATATATATACTTTAATAAAAAATCTACTTATTTATCATCATGTTTTTAGCAAGTTGTCAAATATATTTTTTTAAAGGATAAAACCAATGAAGACCTATGAGTCTAATTTTTTTTAAAACTATTCAATAAACGTAACAACTGACACTAATAGAAAATTAGTTTAATAAACTCATGTCATGTCAATGACCTTTACTAACTTGAGATTGAGTTAAAATGCAAAGCATAATATGTGTGGAAATCAGTGAAAAAATGATGACTGACCTCTACAACATTGTCCCTATTAAGTGCCAGCAGACCTTTCTGACTAAAGTCCAGCAGGCCTGGACACTGACGAAACTGGTACTGATATCTGCTGAGCTCCCTGAAGGTACGAAGATCAAAGATTTTAAGACGTCTGTCCAAGCTGGTTGTTGCCATGTACCTGTGGAGTTATATTATTTTTTTTTAAATACAGGTTCAACATGTAAAAAAAAACAACAACTGGAAGATAGCTTCTACTTCTAGTGGGATCTATGGCAATGCTAAACTTAAAATCCATACAGATCTTAATAACTACACTTACAATCCAGTGGGATCTATGGCTATGTCCCTGATTCCACTTGTATGACATAGGATCTTAGCTGCTGGCTCTTTCAAGCTTGGAGTCCACAGTGATACTGTCCCTGGAAAATCAGTGGTTTTCACTTAAGTAAATTAAATAGTATACAAATTGTACCAATGAATTATCTGCTTTAGCATACAGTAAGATGTAGCAAATAATATGAAGACTGTGATAGAACAAAGTTAGACTGAGGACTAGTCAAATTACTCAACAAAAACTATCAGATTATAGACTGGAGGATTATTCATCAAAAACAGAAACTGTTGTATTGATAAAGTACTTTCTAGTTTATTTTTAAACAGTACGGTTCTTTATTGTAATTTATGCTTAATTTTGGGAGTGTTTTGATGCAGGAAAAAACATTACCATTTGGGTGGCCCAAGTGAATGACAGCCGATTGGGAATTGAGAGCCATTACATCTAGTCTGCCTTGCTTGGTAGAAATACCAGACACCTCTTTACCTATGGATACATCTAGGTAAGATAGGTAGCCTTTGTTACTCTGAAACGATTGAGACAATTTCTTAAAAACAAATTGCATACATCATGACAAAGCTGTGAGAAGGCTTTGTTGTTGTTAATTGATCTATTATTTGTTTGTGTTAAACTTACTGAAATTGCACAAGGTTATATATAGAGATTTTTAAAAAATCAAATATGATATGTACCAAACTAATTGGCATTGTTTCTTCATGAAAAATATAGTTAACATATGAAAAGCAAGCTTTAATATCTGTCAAACTTAAACATAGCTCTCAATTTTCTTAAGAACTTTTACAACTCATTATTTATTTACAGATAGACAAGCAGCAGCTTCTAAAAATATTCATATACAGACATACAAGAACTATCTTCTCACAGAGGAACATAATAAAAAGTGGTAGGGCAAAAACTCCAGACGCAAAACCGAATCCAGATGTTTCAAGCAATGTAATTCAATCCCTTGATTATCATAGACGTAAACCCATTTTTTCTGAGCCACTGCAAACAAAGTCTCCTGGTGGAGCCACCTGTTTAAAGAAACAGAATGTCAATAATTTATCATCTAAGTTGCTGATGTGCAAAAGTTCAAGAAAGATTTAATTTCTGGAACAAATAAAACAATAAGTTAAATAAAACTGCTCCAATCCACGGGTATCAGAAGAGTTGAAAAGTAAGAGGAAAAAAAATCTCACTTAATATCTGCTACCGACTCCATGACATTGATTTCACAATGAAGCTTCTTTGTCTGCCAATCAAAAGCTGCCACATGACCTTTGGCCCCACCAATAAGTAGGTGCCTGTAAAAACACCATAGTAAAAATATTTCTTAAAAACTGAGAACCAAACACTGTGCTGATGATTTCAACAATGACAGCCATGCCCTTCAATAGATAAAACAGGACATTTTTCACACCACCTTGTATTTTCCCTCCCAGAAGTATTTTTAAAAATAGGTTAATTTTTTTTTCTGTAATCTGAGGTTGTGGGCAACAAAAATTCTGTTATTAAAGAGTTTTGAGTAAAACTACTAATATTTATCACTCGGTTTTGTAATTTACGGGGAGTTCCAAATGACTAATTGAAACTATTGTTCACCTACCTGCCATTGCGTGTGTAATCTATTCTGTAAGGTCCGAACTGATTCAATCTTAAGTCAAATATTTTCTGCTGAGTTGACTCATCGGCTTGGGATTTGATGTCACTCTGTGAAATCTGGAAAGTTTTGTCTCCTTCCAGGACACTGTTACAAAGAAACATATACTGATAATTGAATCACTGTCCAGAGAAAAACAAAATTTGACATGGATTTTTAAAAATCCGCAAAACTTTAATTATAATTGTAATGTAACTGTCGAAATGTAACTCTTGATGTCCTGTGGTCATCCACTCTTCTAATCCAGACGCTCAACCATCCTAGTACCACACATACCAGTGTAACCGATAAAAAACAGTGGATATATCGATATAAGTTCAATGTATAATTTTAATATGCCTCGTAAGCCTGAAAAATCAGGGTACTTCACAATACAACTTGTAAACTTATCAACATTCAACTTCACTATCTATCTAGCTGAATCCTCACACATAGAAAGCTAAGCCTTGAACATCTCACAACAAGCTATGTCTTGAACAGCACACAATGGCCATCTCTTCCTTCCATCAACAACAACTGACGCGTCATATCCCCTTACACAATTACGTCACAACACTCTCACACAAACGATACAGCTTACACATAAAATCTCTAACTAAACATCTTTTCCCTATCAAACATGAAAACAATGATCTACACATAACAACAGTGATTCTCATACCCTTGACAGTAACCAAATAGAATACACACCCAGGCTCTTCTGTTCGGAGAAGTTCACTTCGTGCCGACTTTTCAGCTACTTTTTCATAAATTTCCTCTTTAGCTTCGATCTTTCGTGTATGGAATGAAGTTCTTGCTCTACCCTACAGTTTTTATAGAAAGTCATCTATCCATTAAAACATCTGTATATGCTGTATGTGTGTCATCAAAATAAACAAGATGAAAATTAATTATCACCATATTTAAAAAGTTCACCAAATATTGTTATTCCTTACCCATGAGGCTTCCCCCTTTCTCCATTTCTCCACTTTATGTTCTGGAACTGGTCTCTCCTTGATAACATTCTGAAAAAACATAAAAATTGATTAGACATGCAAGATTTGATGACTTACTTCAAGTACACAAGCTTAAACTGATTGTTTAAGGTATGACTGTAGCAGAAAATTGAATTGTACGTATATAACTATGATAACTGAAACATTTTACAAGCCCTTTTCAACTTACCTCTGGATTTCTAGTAAAACTGAACTTTCCTCCGCCTTTTGAATCTGGTTCCTTGGGTTTGAAATATCGAATCTTCATCTGTGAAAAGTGGAATGATTATATTCAAACAATACTCAAAATTTAAACCACTTTCTTACAGAATGACAGACACTGATAAGTCAGATCTGCAGCAAAAAAAAAAAAAAAAAAAAAAAAAAAAACGGAACATAATATTGACAATTTTTAGATCTGCCCAACTCCCCCTTGGCCGGTCTCGAGCCCAGGTGCAAAAGCAGGAGGGTTGGTGTAAGGCCAGTTACCTCAAACCGCTACAGAAACGTCAACAAGAAGAAAAAAAACAATTTCAGCCCAATAAGAGAGGGTTCTTCTACCCCAAAAAGCATTATGAAGCCTTGCGGCCAAAGCCAGGTTATACTGGAAGCCTCAAAGCTGGGGGACCCTCCTTTTAAACGCAATAAGCATAGGCTCGTGGAATGTTAAAAGGATGTATGAAACAGGAAAATCAGCACAAGTGGTGGAAGAAATGAGAACATACAAACTTACACAGCGCAGAATCTTTGAAACAGTATGGACAGTTAACTTTGGCCCCAGGGGAAACACTAATATACTCAGGACATGAGGATGAAAATGCTCCACACACACACAATGAGTCACTTTCATGATGACATGGATGGCACAAGGAGCATTGCTAGGATGGGAAGCCTATGGTCCAAGAATTATTACAGACCTTCATAAACACTTCGCTTAGAAAGAACCTGAATATCAAATGGCCAACACTATCAGCAACAAAGACTTACTGGAAAGGAGCCTATAGCTGAAGACATTGTAAGGAAAAGATGCAGGTGGATAGGGCACACTCTTCGCAAACCCCCAGATAGCATCACCAGACAATCCCTAACATGGAATCCACATAGAAAAAGAAAGAGGAAGGCCTAAAAATACATGGAGACACGAGCTAGAGGCAGACACAAAAAGTATGGGATACACATAGAAGCAAATGGAAATGAAAGCACAGGACCGAGATAAATGTAAAATTCTTGTAGATGACCTATACCCTAGATGGGGTAAAAGGCATAAGTAAATAGATCTGCCCTGTGTCTAAAGGGAGTTAATAATATCAATCTACTAGATTAAGATGAGTGTGCCAAATATTGGTTCCTCAAAAAACATTTGGCAATCAATATTAGGCATTAGGCTGACTAGCAGAACCGAAAAATTATTTTTAAAATATTATCTTCAAGGGGGGCCAAGATTTGTGACTTTATAATGGGTGTGTCTGTGTTACGTTGGTTCCTAAAACATCAAAATTTGTGCGTTATTATTTATGAATGGCCCTTTAGAAGCCTATGCTTATTTTTGCTGGTTAAAATAGGGCACTCGGTAGGATAACAAACATATTTTTTCAATAAGCCTAGGGCTTGCCTTTGGATAGAGGTCAGCAACCTTTCAAGTAGATACCATTGTTTTAACTTATAATTTATTTCTGTTGTTAACAAAATAGGTAATTACCACTTCAGCATCGGTTATTAAAAGAATTGTGTTTTTTCAGTTTGAAGTTAAGTAAATCAATAAAAGAATAACCATGTCTGTTTATTAGTAAAGCGGAGAGAGGGAGAGGGCGACTGGGTTTTCAGTGGCATAGAAAGAGAGTGGGCGCTGTTTCTGTTTTCTCATTCAAGTGCCAAACTGACATATGATCAAGATACAGGAGTGTATATACTGATACTGGCATAGAGAGATATATCTTGCCAAACACACATGTTGTATCAGACGAATGGGTGGCTTGTGCAAACATAAACCAGATCAGACACTCCACTGTGGTCCATCAACAAAAACTTTGTTGATCCAAATGACGCTAGTGTCCACAAATAGAATGTGGAAAATGTGGATGCACGCAAAGCACAAAATTATGACAATTTGCACCAGCTGCGATCTTTTTCCTTCATATTTGCACTAGTTCATGTTCCGCAATTGTTTTTGTGGAAATATTAACTCAAACTCTGTTCTCTTTTCATACATTATGGAACTGTTTAAATGTTTCCAATTAAAAAATTGTGGCTTTTAAAATTTATGTAGGCTATACTATGTGTGTGTATGTGCTGAAATTGAAATGAATATCTACATAACAATGTCATAAAAAATCATTTCCATCTGTCCATTATATTAATTGGATCAATTAAGTAAAAGAGTTTTATCTTATCAATAAAAGTAAAAGAATAACGCAACAGTTTAAATAGCACTTCAAACCGAAATAGCATTATTTTTATCTAATGTCTAATGGTCTATTCCTTCGGTTCTGAGACAACTGAAATCATACTGAAATAGTTGCTGTCGCTGTCCACTGAAGCTGCACAGTTAAGCCTAGTTAAGGCTTAGATTTAGATTGTGTACCGGCTACGCTAATTGTTGCAAATCAAGCGAATGATCTCATAGTTAAGCATTTGATCAGAAATTTAAATAAAAATTATATATTTATTTATACATAAAAAAAATAATAGTACTTTGCTGTCGGTCTGTTTACTCTGTTGTTCCATTTTAACGATAGTTCTCCGTGACTCGTGGTAATATTCATTTAGTAAAGGATGCGGCTATTCGGATCCGTGTCCCTTCAGACAAAATGCCTATTTGGAGTGTCGGACCCGGAGTGGATCCGTATATATTAAATGGCTTCGGGCCTGGGTGTTAAAACAGTAGTAGTAGTATGAGATTTTTTTTAAATTGTTCTTTCTCCTTGTTATTTCATAGATTCATCGTTTTATTCTTTTTAGTTGTTTTTTTTTTGCTTTTTGTTTTGTTAAATTTTTTATTGATGTTAGTTTTTTTTCCTAATTTTCTTTTTTAGTTTTGGCCATGTTCGTAGATCAAAGTTTTTTAAAATATTTTTTTTAAAATCTAGTAGTAATCAAGACGATTGAACAGCCTCGTGGAGAGTGCAGACGACTCTATGTTAAAATTATCTTAACATTACAACCTCAACATTTTACTCAACTTTCTCATTTCATTTACTGCAACTTATAAATTCAACAACATCTGGACATGGTGGAACAAATGAAACCAAAATTTCAGATTTGGACAAGGCCTCAGAAATAACGTTTATTAAACTGAAAAATCAAATCAAAATTTTGGTGAAATGCTCATCCCATCAATTAAACTGATGACTTTGGACAATGATAAGACACAAATACTTTAATCCTAAGTGGCATGGAAATAAAACACATTCTAATACTAATTGGCATGGGAATAGAGCACAATACATAGAATAATTAACATGGAAATAAAACACATTCTAATACTAATTGGCATGGAAATAGCAGAAAAACATACTAATTGGCATGGAAATAACACAAAGTCATATACTCATTGGCATGAAAATAAGATATATACATAAACTAATTGGCATGAAAATAAAATACATGTATGTACTATTTGGCATGGAAATAATACACATAGATATACTAATAGGCATAAAAATATAACATACACTTAATAATTTGCATGGGCATAATACGCATACATATTTTACAAATAGGCACGGGGATAACAAAATACATATACTAATTGGTTGGAAATAACAAACATTCATATACTAATTGCCATGAAAAAAAAAACATACATAAAAATTATACTAATTAACATGGAAATAATTCACACAAATACGAAACATTAGGCATTAGGAAAGGTAGAAGAACGCTGTGGACATCTCGGGCGTTGCCTGTTATGACTTTGAAAAAAAAATTTGTAATCTGTTACGTTTTGTATTTATGAGCGGGGCCACAGCAGCCACCCAAGACGCAAGAGAACAAGTCTAAAGTATATTAAACTCATATGTAGCTACGCTGAAGACGAATGTTTTTAATGTATGTTCTCAATCTGAGTAACATACATATATATTTTTAATAACGCAATTGCGTTTGGTGCGTAATATTTTCTTTTCGGAAATGAAATCGTCTCAATTTAAGTGTTGTGTAAAAAAAAAGTATTCGGTTTAAAAGTGGTTTTGGACATGAGAATATTAATATAGTACATAGGGGTGAAATAAAAAGTGTGCAGTGACGTATCATGGGGGAAGGGGTGTAGCAAAAATTGGTGTTCTTAAATGTGCTTTACTTGTGTTCATGTTTTGTCAAGTAACTTTACTAGATAGGAAGTTCACGCATTGCTGTCGCCAATGTTTGGCAGGCTGTATCTAGTATATTTATATTCTAAGCATAATATTTTAAATTGCATCACAACGTCTCGTGTTCCATAAGCTTTATCAAGTGAATTCAAGTACCCTCGGCGAGCCGGTTGAACTGACGTCGCGGGCCGGATCCGGCTCGCGGGACGTAGTTTGGTGACCCCCTTTTACTAAGAGAATTATATGAGATGTATTACCCGTAAAAAGATGACTGGAGTTTTCATCTATACAATAACTTATGTACCAGGTAACCCAAAGGGGGCTGCGACCCACCGGCTGAGAACCGCTGTACTAGATAAAACAAAAGTAAATGTGGCACTAGTATGGCACCAATCGTGTGTCCAACTCTTATTCTTATAAATCCTTTAAACTTTAGATCATGTGTATAACAATTCTACTCCTGCTCTAGAAAGTAAATAAAAAATTTTTTCATTTCAAATAATGTAAGTGATAAAATTGTTGCACTAAAGGAATGCATTTTTTCAGTGACTGTGCATTCTTTAATCTTTTACATTTTATAACTTTCTATGCTATTTCCATGCTACAACTTCGATCCACAAGATCTTTTCTACAATGTTATTTCAAAGTTATAAAAAAAATGATCACAATGATAGCTATTGCTGTATCGCTATCAGTATTGAAATATAGTGTTACCGTGAAAAATTCGTATCTTACACCAGTATTGTAACATTAGATCTCGATTTGTAACTTCGGTATTACCATTTATTTATGAATGTGTGCTTTGAATTTTACTTCTTTGCGCCCACGTCACAGTGCTAAACGCTCGATTAAACATTATAATTCATCATTGAATGAGGGTAGGTCTAAAAGTCAAAACTGATAAGTTATGAAAACACATATAGGCCTATACAGGTACCAGGTACCATTGTATATTAAGTTATTTCTTGAGAGAGAGAGAGAGAGAGAGAGAGAGAGAGAGAGAGAGAGAGGGCGAGAGAGAGAGAGAGAGAGAGAGAGAGAGAGAGAGAGAGAGAGAGAGAGAGAGACGTAAAGAAAACCAAATACTGAATTTAAATTTTAATAAATTGTACATTTTCAATCCACATAATTACTTCAAAAGTCAACTCTTTCCCCTTCCCCCCCCCCCTTTTTTTTCTTGAATCCACACCAAAGATTTCTTATTTCTTCTTCTTCTTAAAATGATTCAAGGATCAGATTTGTGACTTTTGGAAATACGAAACGTCGATGGAAAGCTCGTCATTTGAAACAAGAACGTGGCGCCAATTAATTTGGTTTACAAAATAAAAGCAATCCTATATTATAACAGATTTTTATCGATTTAAATTCTGAAACGGGTCGCACTAATTAAAGTAACGATGTGCCAAAAATAGATCTGTATGATCCTTTGTATCACACTGAATCTAACACACTGCAATCAATTAATGGCCTTAAACTTGGTGTTTAAGGGAAAGAAGATGTATCACACGGTCGGAGTAGTTCACAAAAGTTCTTTGTTTCAGAGCACAGAAGTTTTCCCTTTGACGTCATGTCAATATTTTCAATCGAATGGATACTGACGTCAGAAATTGGTCGCCCGTTTTAAAGACTCACTTCCGCAATCGCTCTCACCCCAAGCAGAACATGGGCCCGGAGAGGAAAATGGTGTTCAATATTCACCAGACCCAAAACAACACCACTACTAGCAGCGGTCAGTAACCTTTCACTGGACTGAGGGTGAAGCAATGTTGGTCCTTCTGTGTTCTGGTGACAGGCTACGAGAATTTAAATCGCTTTACAACCACAACCCTTATTTATTTATTATTTTTTTAAAGACATTTAAAAAAAACAACACAAAATTGTGAAAAGATTTTAAAGTACAAAGAGAGTCAAAGATGCCAAGAATATGGGGAAAAAATAAAAATAATAAGATATAGTTGGGCTTATTATTTTTTAAAATTGTTACAATACCCAAAAAAAAAATGGATGGAATTTGGAGGCCCCCTCCCACCAAAAAATAATATAAATAAAATTATTTAAAAAATATTTTTTACAAATATTTTAAATAATTTTTTTTTTTGCCCGGAAGAACCCCCCCCCCACCCCCACCCCCCACTGTTTTGAGCTCCAGGCGATGTAAGGTGTGCCATGACGAAATGAGGAAGAAAAACACGGACTTTCATTGTTAGATAGACAGTAAACAGTGATAGCTTATTGCAGTCAGTCGACGCCACTGAAATCAGAACTTGACTTTACAACACCGGCAACTCAACGATAATAACTTGAAAACATGGCTGACTTGCAAAACAAATTATAAATGGAATCTCTTTTTTTTTTTTTA